GAGTAGGAGGGTGGGGGAGTGATTATGTATGCACCAGCTAATTCTTCCATCAAAACGTCTTGTCAGCGATGTCAGGATTATTTTTCCCCCTTTTTGTAAAAACACTTGATGTTTTAGGAAGTGTTAATCCCTGAAGGTTGGGAGACTGAGGGCGGGAAGGAAGGAAGAAAGGCGTGGGTCCCGGTGACATGTCTCTTAGGGGAAGGCACCCTCTGGAGCCGCCGGCCTGTCCGCACTGGAGTTGGGGTTTGCTGTGGAGGGTGGGACCTCAGGAGGATTTCTTCAGGTCGTGGGAGGGAAGGACCCCTGCCCTCTGCACCGCATTTGATGGAAGTTCCGATGGCCCTGAGGGATCAGGAGTAGAAAAGTTCGCTTGAGCCTTTGATTTCAGGATGATTAGCCCAGGCAGTGGGAATGTAAAAAAAAAAAAAAAAAAAAGAGAGAGAGAGAGAGAGAGAATCCTGACATGGGTGTGTTATTATTATTATTATTTTTTTAAAGATACAGAATGAAAGGGATGGATAGCAGAGTGAAAGCCCATAGCAGGAGGCCTGGGCTGCTTCTTTCTGCCCGGTTTTTCTTGGGATCCAGTAAGTATCTCGGGCTCTATATTCACCACCCAGACCTAGCTTTCTTTAGGCGACAGAAATGGATGATTTCTTCAAGGGGAGGCATTTCTACATCAAATGACTCCAAGAATAAATTCGTACTTCTGTTCCTATGGGGGGGGGGGCAGGGGGATTTTAAAACTTTTTGTGGTCAGAATAGGAAAGGCTGAAGCGCCATCTGTCCCAGCCCAGGTGCGGATCCCAAAAGAAAACATAAACATAAAACATGATAGCCTGTAAGAAAAAAAACAAAACTGCGAGCTAGACGAACATGTCTCCCATTTCATATTTTTTAAGATGTTGCCTAGATTTAGGAGCTGGGTTCTTCCACAGTGTGGTGACTAGGAAAACCATTCCGTGTCTGGCTTATGAAACCCGAGTCCAGTGAGGAGGGGACTTTGGATGGTCGCTCTTGCCCCTCCACCTCTACCCCTACCCCTTTTGGAGCGAGTGTGTCTGAGAGAAGATATTAAAGAGGTATCTGTTGTTAGGCAATTTTGCTAAGTCTGTCTTCATTACTTCGACGCTGTGCATTTGCTAATTTGGAGGCCGGGCCATTGACAAGCTTGCTCCATACACCTGCAAGCAATTTGCCCGGCTCCGGTACCGAGAATTGCAGAGATGGCAGCTCGCACCTATTTGATTTTTTTTTTCCTTTTCTCAATGCACAGCAAATTTGGCTTTCAGTGCGTTATCTCTTTTGTTAATGCAAAAAGATTCCCTGGGCGAAAAAATTGCTCATAATTACCAGAGAGATGGGGAAACTGCATTAGAATAAATAAACCTGAAATTACTGTAATTATGTTGTGTTTGATGGGCCCGGCTTGTAATCAAGAAGAGAATACAGTGAAATGATGCTGACCCTCTTGGGTTTGCAGCTGTACACGCACTTTGGGGTCTTTTTCTGCAGAAAAGAGTCATTTTGATAATCATTAAGCTGTGTGTAACCTATTTCAGAAGTGTTTTAAAATGAGGTTCACATTTTTTGAACAAGGGGGGGAAAAAATCCCAAAATTGCATTTTGCCATTACAGACTCATACATAAGGAAAGGTTGTGTTTTCTAAGTGACAATTGTTAAGATATAATATTCAAAATCAGTATTTAATCATTATAATGAGGTATTGTTTAAATATAACCACCTTTAGATTATTCATAGTTTAATTAATATACTCATTATGAAAATCTTTGAATCAGATATTTGATGAACTGCTTGTCAGCAACAAGGCAGCATTAATTAGACCTATATTGAGACTAACATTTTTAAAAAGTATAACCGCTTATAATTATAATAGAACCTAACTAAAGACCGCCTTCGTTGAGCTAAAACTAATAATTTCTCTATTTGAACTGTTAGCAAGATATTATTAAATTAGTATAAGCTAAATATCTCAGAGTACCAAAATCCGCTTGACCAAATAGATTGTGCCTGTGGCTTCAGGCATTGGGCCCTGGCTGCCGTCTGAGGAGCCAATTCGGATGCGTGAGATAAATCTGCCAAATCTCCCCGCCCGCAAAGTCACACCTCGCGGGGGAAGCCAAGCCCGGGACGGTCTCTGCCCCGCGGCCGCGTTCGGTCCCCTCTCCCCGCTCCCAGGCGGTCCGCGCGCACCGGGGCTCCGCGGTCTGTCCCCCCATTCGCGCGCCAGGCTCTGGTGACCTTCGGGAGAAGAAAAGCCCCAAACCCAGCCCCAGAAAGGGTCTCGAAGTGGTCCCATCCCCCACTATGTCTCTGCTTTTTTCACACCCCCCCCCCACACACACACACACCCCTGACGCTTCCCCTCTCCTCCCCAAAGGGCGTCGGAAGAGCCCGGCACATCTGCTCTTTCACCAGCACCAATTGAAAAATGGGTGCTTGTCACAACACACATCACTGCCTTCCCCCTTCAACTCCCCACCGCGCGCTGCCAAGGGTCCCCCCAAGGCGGAGGGCAGGTTGAGAGAAGCGGGGCTCGCTCCGCGCAGCCGGGCGAGGCCCGCATCTTTCCCGAACCTCCTCCGCCGGCCTGCGGGACTGGGGTTGGGGGTTGGGGTAGGGCAGAAGCACCGGACCGGGGGAGTTGTAACTGCTCCCCCGGCTCATGGTCAGGTCATCTGGAGCCAAATGGTCTGAGCCGTTCATGGAGGTGCCCCCTCACTGGCCTGGCTGGGAGACTTTGGGAAGGCTGGGGCTGGGTGCTCCACTCGCCCCCCAGACCCTTCATCCCTCCCAGGCTCCTCCGTCCCTCCTGGGCGCGGAGGAGAAAAAGCCCGGGATCCTCAGGCAGGAATGGGCCTCGCCTTGTGCGAGGCGCCTTGTGGATGGGAGTGGCTGTGGAGGGCCCGGGTGGCGCCTGGAGACTGTCCCCTGGAGCTCACTGATTGATTGGGGGTTAGCCTGACAGACGTATCCTTCCGGCCCTTTTCCGGCGTCTGGCCGCGTCTTTTCCTGGTCCAGATCCAGCGCCCTCCAGGCAAGCAAAAGCCAGGAGGCCAGATCCCCACGGAGGGGAAGGGCCCAGCCAGGTGTCTCCTGGTTTCTAGGACTCCCTAGAAACTGTGTGTGTGTGTGTGTGTGTGTGTGTGTGTGTGTGTGTGTGTGTGTGTGTGTGTGTGTGTGTGTTGGAGGGAGTGGGGAGGAGTGTCACTCAAATCTCACAGGCCCGCTGTCTTTGAGTTCTGCTTTGATCTCTTCCTCTCAGCCGGCCTTCACCATCCCTTTGGTGCCTGAGCACCTGTTCCTGGTCCTCCTTCCCGGAGACCCTTCCAGCCCAGGTGGGATCAGACCCCATGTCAGACAGGAGCTAGGCACCAGGCAAGAACAGCGCCAGTGGGCCCAGGCCCCGTATTCTGTGGTCTAGGGTCAGTCCTTGCCCCTGCATTGCGTCCCAAAAGGTGGGAGCCTGGCTGGCCCCCAGCACCCCCTCACACAGCATACCATACAGCAGCTCTTTCTCGAAACCATAATTTTACTGTCAAAGAAACTTTATAACTTATTTACAAAGTTCTTTTCTCCCCCCCCCCCCAAGATACAAAGCAATAAGTTAACATTCTCAATATAAAACTAAACTTTGACATAGAGAACACAAAACATGGTTGATTTCAACTGATCACATTTCCCAAATTTCACAAGTAAAATGTCAAGATTCTCATTTCACAAAGCATCGGGTTTTACAGCCACACACAACGGAACGGGGAAAAAAGCTAAACTTGTGCAACATGTTTACAGAACAACAATAATAATAACAATAATAATTAATAACAACAATAATATGTACAGCGATTAAATCCTGCACTGGAGGCTGTGTGTTCAGGTGGGGACTGGCATTGTTCTGGCCGCACCTCTGGGGGTTGTTGTAAAGCTGCTGTGTTTGCTTACTTTACAGCCCACCGGTCTGGGGGTACTTGCTCACACCCGCCTCTTTTCTCCTTTCTCACTGCTGCCCGTGGGTCCTCGCTCTCTTTCTCCCTAAGGAGAGAATTCGGATTTTCCTACTTGTCCAGGCAAGGAGACTAAGCGTTCTTCTCCAAATGAGAAATTGTGTTGGCTTCATTTCTTTCCTTTTAAAAACATGTAAAATATGCAAATCATTCGACTCCAACCTCTCTAGACCAGTGAAGTACAAAAGTTACTGTGTAAGGTCCTCCTTATCCATTTTTTTTTCTCATGTGCATTTGAAGTGACCTGTACGTTTGGACAGTGCGTGCCTCATGTCTCATAGAATTGTGTACTGGCCAACATCCAGCCTCGGGTGAAGTCCATTTCTCAATAAATAAGCCTTCTCCCTCCAAGTTCCCCCCATTCCCCAGGGAGCTACACAGGTGTTTGGGCAGGCCCAGGAAAAGGCCTGAAAGGATCGAACATCCAAGCATCCGGGACTGGGTGGCCTGGTGGGCAGCGCCTCCCGGGGCCTGGTGACGTATTCAGAGGCCGCAGAATGAGGACAGCGGACAGAGGAGGACCTCGACTTGTCAGGGCACAGATACAGAGCGGAAGGAGACAAGAGACGGACAGGACAGAAAATAGCTTTTGCTTTTTCTACATTGCTTTTGATTTGTTTTTTTCCTGATGGTCCCACACAACCGAGGGTTCCTTGTCTGGTCCAGTCCGACTGGCTATCTTGCTGGTCGAGCTGTCTCCGGCGGCTGTGACTGAGCTCCGAGGCCTCTCCCTCTGCTGCTCCAGGCCCAGGCCAGGGTTCAGGCGAGGGTGTGGATGCCAGGGAAGTAGCCAGTCCAGACAGCAAGAGGCTCTGAGGAGGCGGTGTGCGTCCTGTCTCCACGGTTCCTTCTCCTTTCCCGCTGAGCCCTTCTCTGGGTGCAGGGCACACAAATGGGGTGGATGGACTGGAGGCAGGAGGGACCCAGACCTGGGACAATGGGAAGGAGGTGGGCGGGAGCGGTGGGCGACCTCACATGAGTTGGGGTTGCTGCATAGCTTCTTGGTGCGCGGAGGGGTACCAGGACGTGTAGCTGGGGATGTAGGAGCCCGTGCTGCTGCCTGAGCCCTTTCCAGACGAGGAGCTGGGGTTCCATCCGGGGGGCACGGGCGGGGAGCCCGCAGAGAGCCCCCGGCCGTTGGCTAGCGCGCTCCCCTCCAGAGCCGCCCCGCCCTGCTTCATCAGCTTCTTGAACTTGGAGCGCTTGTTCTGGAACCAGATCTTGACCTGCAAGAGCGGACAGCAACGTGACTCCAGGGCTAGGCCCATGGTGCCCATCATGGTCATGGGGAGACGAGGTGACAGCGAGAGAGGATGCCCCTCACCCCCCTGGAGAAGGGACAACTGGCAGCTGGGGGACCAGACCATCACCATCACCACCAATAAGAGCCTGGCGGCAGGGGCAGCTCCCTAGGGCCAGGGGGCGCGGTGGTGAGAGGTGAGCAGGGGTCGAGGCCTTCTGCCAGGGACTCGGCCCAACCTTGGCTGGCAATCCCCTGGGGAAGATCAGGGCCTGCACACCAGAGAGCCTTCAGTTCCAATAGGAGCACCAATAAAAGACTGGAGTGGAGAAAAGGAGTGGAGGGAATTTATTTGCAATGCAACCTGCCTTCTCTTTGCCATCCTTTCTGCCCTCCAGGGAGCTGGAGACTGACCCAGGAAGCCGCAAGGTTTTGTTAAACTTTTCATCGGGACTTAAGTAAACCTTTTCTTAATGTCTGTTTGTCTCCCCAGCTCGGCTCCAAATCCCGGCCCCAGCGTTGGAAACCTGCGACATTCGTCATCAGGACGCCCATGGGCTCCCCAGACACTCAGAGAAATTGGGAAGGAAGGTCCGTTTCTCCTCTGGGGTCTGGGACTTGGGTGGTGTGAGAAGGCAAAAGAAAGGACCCCTGCCCCCCCCCCCACACACACACCCCAAGAAGCAGGAGGAGAGGGAGGAAGAGGAGAAGGAAAAGGAGAAGGGAGACAGGAGCTCAGGCCAGGCCCCAAGTGATTAGCCGCACACTTTAAAGGCAAAGAAGGGATTAAGCCCGGAGTCCATTGTTCCAGTTGTTCGGGCACGTGTGACTTCAGAATCCCCAAACAAAACGTCCCGGCGCCCTAATCAGATTGTCCAGGGTTGCAGGTCCCGGAGGCAGGCAGCGCGGAGTATGGGGTGCAGAGTGCAGGGAGAGCCAGGGCAGAGAGAAAGAAGAAGGAGAGACGCTGGGAGGGGCAGGGGTGGGGGGCACACACATACACATACACACACACATACACATACACCACACACACACACACATACACCACACACACACACATATACACACACATACACCACACACACCCATACACACACACACACACACACACACACACACACACACACACTTCCTCCCATCTCCGACCCTGAGGGCCAGAGACCAAAAAATGAAGCTGGGGCGCAGGCTGGCCGCGCAACCCTGCGAGCCGGTGGGGCAGCAGCGGGGTACCTGCGTCTGCGTGAGTCCCAAGGAGGCCGCGAGCTCCGCCCTCTCGGGCAGAGCCAGGTACTGAGTTTGCTGGAATCTCCGGTTCAAAGCCTGCAGCTGCAAGCTGGAGTAGATTGTCCTGGGCTTGCGGATCTTTTTCCCCTTGCCATTGAAGCGCACCTCCCCGCCTTCCACCACGGTGCTCTTCTCGGAGTCGGCCCCTGGAGGGACAGCAGAAGCGGGGGCTCTAGTTAATTCGAGGGACAGCTTTCAGGGAGGGAGCCGGGGGCAAACGGGGGCAGCAGAGGGAGGCAGGGCCCGGAGAGACAATGCTCAAGGAACTCCCCAAGCCCTGGAGGGGAAGGCCCCGCAAACCCCAGGGCCGGGCCCGGGCCGCTGCAGGCGGACTGGGACAGCTCCCAGGCGCGCGGCCCCTGCCGTTGCAGGGAAAGTTTGCCGCGTTGCAGGCGGGTAGCTGAAGTTTAATTGCCCTTAATTGCACACATTGTTTATCGCGCTACGCAATAAATAATTACCGAGACTAATGCGCGCACATGTGGGTTTCTGTTTTCCAGTGGGGCATTGTGTGCTCGGCGCACGGAGCCACCCAGAGGCCCAGCTAAGTGCCAGGGGACGCTCTCAGATGGATGTCTCCTCTGCTGCAGAGTTGTTAGTTAGGTGGGTTTTTTTTTTTCCCCCTCCTTTCTTAATTTTCTTTGCTATGACAAGGATCCATAGATTGATACCCGAAACCTCCACTGCTCCTGCGGCGCTCTCCCCACCCCCACCCCACCTCTCTCTCTCCACCTCTCCCTCCTCTCTCTCTTTCTCTCTCTCTCCCTCCCTCCCCTCCCTCTCTCCCTCCATACCTCTTAGGCTCCCTCTCCCGGGCAGGCGCACGTACCTGGGTCCTCCAGGCGGCTCTGGGCGAGGCTGGCGCTGCCGGGGTAGGACTGCACGGAACTGATGTAGGGGCTGGACGCGTGGCTGCTGACCGAGTTGACGTAGGGGTAGCCCAGCGGTCGGGAGAAGGACGAGGCCGAGCTGTAGGCGCCGTCGGACTGCGCGTGGCCCGCCGCCGAGTGTAAACAGTGCATGGAGTAGTGCCCGTGGGACATGGGAGAAGGAGGCATTTGCTGGTTGGGCGGCCCAAACTCCATAAACACCGCCTTGCCCGACACGGGGCTGTTGAGACTTTCTGGCATGGTGGTCATGGTCATCTCTTCTCGCGGGGGTCTGGGTGTGTGGGTCTCTCTCCCCTCTCCTCTGCTTTTCCTTTTTGGGGGTCTCTGTGTTTCTCAGGGCAGGAAGGGACCCGATTTAAGCAGCACAGGGGTTTTCACTTTCCATTCATAAGAAAATGGAGTTTGTCTCTTTGAAAAGTCTAAAGCATGATGCCGCCGAGCTCCCCAAACTCGCTTCAAAGCTTTGACTCAGCCAAGGTCATAAATATTCATGAGCCGGCGGAGCTGATTGGTCCGTCGCCTTGCATAATCGCCGGGGATTGGTCCGAGGCGCTCCGGCTCGGCTGGACTAGAGCGGGCGAGGAGGCCGGGTCTCGGGAGAGCCGCGTCCCCGGTTCCCGGCCGGGGCTCGCTCGGCTGCAAAAGAGCGCGGCGAGCGGGGCGCACAATGAATGGGCCCGCGGCTCCCAGGCCTCCCGCCTCCCGGAGCGCCTCAGTCCCCAGAAAACAACCTGTAACCTGGCGGCCGCCCTCCCTCCCCCTGCGATCCCGGTCCTCCTCCCATCCCAACCCCGGGGACCGGGCACGGCTTCCCCCAGCCGCCGCCGGGTCCGGCGCGGGGCGAGGGCAGCTCAGGAGCCTGGCCGCGGCCTCCGAGCGCGACGTTGGAGGCGGCTAACGGGGCGCGGTCCCGCCAGCTTCAGGCGCCCCGCGCAGCGCTCTCCCCAGGCCCCCATGTCCCCAGCCTGGGTTCGCTCGGCCACATCCCCTACCCCCCCCCCCAGGGGGGTGAGATCTGGGGCCCTCGGGCGAACTCACTCACTCGGCCGCCCCGCCGCCGCCGTCGCTCCCTGGGGCCGGCTCGCATTGCTCCGGGCCCGGCTGGCCGCTCTAGTGCGAGGCTGCACCGGTCTGGCTGATGGAAAGCAGTGCGCGCGGGAGAGCCAGGAACCCGCGCCTCTCCTCCCAGGAAAGGCGGCCGCACCGCCCTCCTCTCCCCAGACACCCCCGTCCTCTCTCCGCCGCCCCCTCCCCTCCCCTCTTCGCTCCCCCGCGCCTGGAGCCCCTGGGGCGCGGCGCGGCGCCGAGCAGAGCCCCGGAGCTGGAGGGCTCAGGTCTGCTTGGGCAGCGGAGGCCAGGTGGTCATTTTCCGGCCTCCTGGAGTCCGGCGAGATCCCGGGGTTCAGGAGACCCCGAAAACCGCGGCAAAACCAGGCCGATAACGGGCTCACTTATCTTGTGTGCGGACGTGTCTCTCGCCGTCGCCCAGGATCCTCTTCATTTTCAGTGTCCACTGGGCCTGGGGGCTGGGCTGGTGGAGGCAAAAGCAGCCAAGGCCTCCTGTCTTCTGGGGCGCTAGGTACAGAAAAGTGCACAAAAATCCCCCCTTTCTCCTCCCCCCACCCCGCCCCCCGCTGTAACCGCCACACAGCCACCCTCTCCAGGCGTCGTGCAAACCACGCTGTCTTCCAGGGGCTCTGGGTTCCCGATCCCTCCAGCCTCACCGTGCATCCAAAATCACTTTGTTAGGTAATTAGGAAGTGTTGGTAATTATTTCTTTCATAATGCAGCGGTGTGGCGGGAACCGGGGGGAAATGATCTTGTGAAAGTTCACACGTGCAGATGTATTAGTTACTGATTCGTTTGATTAAATGGTAGTCTCAAGTGCTCGAATCCGCAGCTGAAGGCGCCCCATTAGCATAACTCTGATGTTTAATTTTCATACGCATAATTAGCCATATATTTAACACTAATAGCAACAAGCAGCCTTTCAGCGTTCAACAAGCCTGTGGGATCTGATCTGGCCTGAGCTGAACCTTCACGACGCACCTTCCTCCCCTGGCTGGAGTGAGTGTCGCAGTGATCACAGGCCAAACCTCTGTAATCAAGTACATTTTGGCAGGAGGAACACCAATAAAAATGAGCACTCCAAACAAATTACATCGGTGCTGTCGTGGCAGACACTAGTGGAAGGGGCTTCTTTCTTTTTTAACTTCAGTAGCAGCAGCTGCTGCCCGCGGAATTCCTCTCCTTTGGTTTCAGGGCATGATGTTGGGGGTAGACATATTTCAGGCTGTGTGGTTGGAGCAAAAAAGAAAAACAAAAGCAAAAAAAAAAAAAAAATCAACCCCACCCCACAACCGATCCTCCAAACCAATAACAGCTTTGCCAACGTTTAAAAAGATTTTTTTCCCCCCTTAATCACCCAACCACACGGTGATACTTTGTAGCAGCAACAGCCAACTAATGACTCCGCTACCAGACAACTCCCAGGAGCTGCAGGGCTCCTCTTGATTTCCGTGTTGCACTTGTGGTTTTCGTTGCTCCTTCCTAGCGCCTATTTTGGGGTGTAGGGCAGGGCGCGGAGCGCAGTGAGGTGCTCCCAGCGCAGCAAGCAGCACGGATGCCGCCCGCCCCGGCCCCTGGTTTCCCGAGCGCCCGGCGGGCCCTGACCACGTAAGTGATCGCCTGAGCTGGCCGGGGCTGGGGTTGGGACGGAGGGAGGGAAGCAAGGCTGGTCACTCCAAGTGCTCAGAGCAATGCAAGGGGAACCCGACAGCTGAGTCATCCAGGGCCAGTTTATTCCAGATCACTGCCGGGTGGGGGAAAGGGAGAGAGGATGCCACAGGTCGCGATGGTCTGTCTCCAGGGCTCTCTGTCCTTCTGTCGAACGGCTGGAAGTGGGAATCCAAGCCGTTCGTAGCGTAGTGGATCGGTCTGGCTCCGGGAACAAAAGATCCCCATGCGCTCCCGTAGGAACCAGTTTCAGAGTCTCAATTATTTTAGAAGTGAATTATTGTGGGCGAGCGAGTGTCTACACTCCGGAATTATTTCTTATATCCAGAGACACAGTTACTGGGAGGAGCGGATGAGCCAGGGCCCTCGGGGCTCAGAGACGCCGGCCTTGGCTAGCTTCTCAACCTGTGATCTTATCTCTGTCCTATGAGCCCTTCCACCCCACACCGATAAGGGTACACCTGTTCTGAAACGCAGGTTCTGAAACGCAGCTCTCAGAGGAAATAAAACTCTCTCTTGTATCCGGAGAATGCCCCGGGTTGCCAGTGGGACCTCTTGGAGGCACGCAGGACTGGCGCCTGGGGGTTAGCGATAGCCACCCGTGGGCTGGATTCCCCGTGAGGTTTGGAGCCAATTAAGGTGGCAGGGGTGAGGGGTGGAGAGTGGACAAGGCACTTTAAAATCTGCTTCCTAACTTCAACTTTAAAGTATGTTAAACGGAATTCGTTCTAAATGAAGTTTGTTTCCTAATGGAGCTGCAGAGTATTGCCTGTATATATACAATGTTTAAACTTCAGGTTACTTTCATAAAGGAATTATAAATCTGTCCCATACATACGTCCACTTCGGCATAATTGCTGCGCAGCGGTGTGCTATCCCAGTGGTTGGTACAATCCTGTGGTCCTAATAAAATTATTCATGGGGAGCCTGACCTGTAGATACGATGCAGGTGATTGGAGCAATCCTACAGGAGAGAAGGGCAGTCCTTCTCCGGCAAACCTCTCCCACGGGCATCGGGCCTCGCTCCTCTCTAGGGACTCCGGGTTTTTCAGAGGGAGAGCCCCTGGAAGTCTCTGGGCCCTGTAAAAGTTTTCTAAGCACCCCATAAGTTTTTCAATGAATCTTGTAAATCTTCAACCCCTTCCTTGTCTTTTCCAGCTCGGAGATCCACTAGAATCAGAATCATTTTCCCCCTCCAAATTCTCCATCCCTGGACACAGAGAAAGAGAGCCAGAGGTGTGGGAGAATGCCCGGGAGAATACAAAGTTCAGGGGAAAGACTGAGCACTTCCCCAGCATGTTCCCTGGCCCTGGTTTCCTCTCTTTCCCCGCCACTGTGCCCCAGAGAGGAGCTGGCTCTTGGGACCCAATCAGAGAAGCCATCTCTCATGGCAACTACAGGTGTCTGACATGTCCTGGGTGCTTTCTAGCCCAAGCTATAGTTAGTGGGTGGCAACTTTGGAAAACCCGCTTCAGTAAAAACAAGAGTTAGCACTGACTTTGAGGAGACCCTAAATGGGACTTGTTCCTAAAATCACCACCAAAGGGCAGCTATTTTCTCTGTGTCCTGCCAGAGGCCCAGCCCCTCTCCACTCCTGGACCCACGTATGAGCAGGTCCTGGGGAGCTAGCACGAGGAATGGGTCTTGTGACAAAAAATGTGGATCTCTGGATTTCCTAAAGCAGGTGGAGCGGTAAGCAAGAGGCTGAAGTGCAGTGAAACTCACCAGCTTCAATCAATCCTGCTAACTAGGCCTTTGCCCTAAAAAAAAAAAAAAAAAAATTAAAAAAAAAATCTCGAATCTCTTCTTGCTGGGAACCTCTGGGTCCCCAGTGCTAGAGTGTGGTCTGAAGGGAGCCAGTATGGGGAGAGGTTAGATTAGGGGCTACAGCAGCCTGGGATTCATACATCATTTCCTAGTGCAACAAACGTGTGTGTGTGTGTGTGTGTGTGTGTGTGTGTATACATAGGGTCTTGCAAAAGTAACCTCTCGGATGGCACTGCAGGGCAGGCTGAGGGCCAGAGAGGAAAAGCTGCAGGGGATCAGGAAGTCGTGTTTTTAGATTGGTCAAGCCTGCAGAAGAGCCAGGCCGGGTCCACAGGAAAAGACGTGTCTGTAGCCACCCCCTCCTTCCAGTGGGGCTGATCTTTCATTGCAAAGCCGCTATGAAGGGGAAGAACGGGAAGGGCTGGGGCGCTGGGGCTAGCCAGTGGAGGGTCCACAATGGAGTAAAAAGTGACAACAAAAAAAATTCCACCTAACAGCCGGGCTCCGGTTTTTCTTTATGCGGGGGCATATGAAAAGTTCAGAAACTCAAAAGTTAACCAACTACCCTCTGCCCCCATTAGGAGCGCAGACACAATGGGGTTAAGGGGGTTAGCTTTTTACTTGGGCATGGGTAAGACAAGGGAAAGAGAAAACCATGCACCTATAGGAATCATTCGTCTTCCAAACGAGGACGTCCTGTTCCCCCTCCAGAAACAGTCCCCTCCAGGATGTTAGGATGTAGCCGCATCACCACGCAGGGCTTCAGATCTGCGTTCCCAGATGCCCGCCCCCCACCACCCCCATCCCCACGGCGGCGTTTTCCAAGATGCTTCTGGGTCCTGGGCAGGCTGTTCCCCACCAGCCTTCCGGGCCGGTTCTGCTCAAAGTTCTCCAGCTGGATCTCGGCAATGCAGGAGAAAAGGCGCCCAGCCTCTGCGATCTCATCTCGGTGCCGCTCCTCAGGCCTCGAGGGGCAGTTTGGTCAAGATCTGAGCGCCCTCCGACGTGATGACCACGGTGTGCTCGAACTGGGCGGACCTGAAACACACGGGGTGGGGGGGGGGGAGAGAAAGGGGTGTAGGTCAGGACTCCCCTGGCGAGCGGCGGGGCGGGGAGCACAGCTCGCCAGCCAGCGCCCAGGGATGAACCTTCCCTTCCCAAACCACTGAGAAGTAACCACCTCTGGTTATCCAGGGAGACCACGGTCCACGCATCCTCCAGGACTTTAAATTCTGGGGATCCCTCGGTTATGATTGGCTCTGTAAGAGGGGAAATGTTTACTGCGTGAACTAATCAGATTCCTGTCAAACATTGTTTCCACTGATGATCAAAAAAAGAGAGTAAGAAGGTTTTCCCCCTCCTCCCAAGTACTCCCCCCGTGGGTTCATGTTGTCACATTGCAAGGGCTGATAATTGATGTTGCGTGCATAGTATACTACAAACTAAACAGTAGGAAGAGGAAACGTTACCGTATTCAGAATGTTATGAAGTTGCCTAGTTCCTAATTTTTTAGAGGAAAAGGGGCATTTTAATCAAGACTTAATTAGGACCCTGTGGATAATAACCACCCAAACACCAGTCCCTCTTATAAATACCAGCGTTTCTAAAAAATATTAAAAAAAAAAAAAAAAAAACATGCTCAAAATGTTCATTAATCAGCAAATAACAGTTTTCTTATTTCACTCTAATTGCTTCTCCATTAAGTCCCAGTCAGAAACATGATGCCTTCCGGGTTTTAGGTGATTGGAATTTATTGGTGACACTAATCACATGATCAGCCAGGAATGGGCCACAGAGAGTACATGCCACCGCAGACAGGGAGCAAGGGACATAATTGCCTCCAGTTCCTGGGTGTTAACGAACACACACACATACACACACACACACACACACACACACACAGCAAAAACCCAAACAGCACATTGCATTGGTAACAGAATTAGAGGGTGGCGGGCTGCCTCTTCTAAATGTGTCGGTAAGTATCTGATTTAGGAAGATGGGCTCTAGGATATTATTTAATCAGGTTTACTCTGCATTTGAATTATTTCATTATGCTGATTGGCTTTATTAGTCCTTCACGAGACTGCCTGGCCTAGGCCAGCGCCGCTGCCTGTGCTTCTGCTGGGGGAGCCGCAGCTCTGAAGAGGAGCGCCCGCACTGACCTATGGTGAAGGCCATCCCCTCCTCCATGAGCAGATCGCTGTCGTTTGCTGTAAGAAATAAAAGATGGGGTAGGGGGAAAGGGAATGGGAAATGGAAAAAAAGACAGAAACAGAATTAGAGGGGTTGGGCTACTCAAAAAACTTGGTAATTTAATATATATATATATTTTTCTCTTGGGGTAGGAGGGTGGAGGTTTCTAGAATCCTGGGTGTTCACTAACAACCCAGGGTTAAACACAGGGCTCCTGGGTCTGTCTTTGCATTTTCTGCACCTGGGGGTCAAGGCCTAGCAGGAGTGTTTGACATCTGTCAGGATCCTCTGCTGCCCTGGCCACTTGCCATGAGGTCTCCTGGCTTTGCTGGGTCCTGGGCCTTGTGATCTATCCCCAACCCAAACAGAAAGACATCTTGGGGAACAGATGCAAAGGGAAGGCAGGCTGCCATAGGAGGAAAGGTCAGGGGTGACTTCAAGGAAGTCCGAGTGTTAGCTCTGGGTGGGGCACATGTCCAAGAGGCCCTTTCTGCACTTCCTCCTGGACCTCAGGTGGGCTCTTTGGCCCCAAGGGAGTTCTGACCTGATGCATCTCTAGGAGCCTTCCAGGGCCTGGGGTGAAGGCAGTAGTTCCTCCAGGGACTATTCCCAAGTAGCCAAGGGGGATGCCCACCTGCGTGGGGTCCTTTGGTCTCTGGGGCGCTTCACAGAACTGCCTCCTTCCCTGACCCCAATCTTCTCCCCTCACCCCCTGCCTCCAGTGCCTTGTGGCCCAGCCTGCTTCCCCAGTGTAGGGTGCACACCCAGGCAGTGAAAAATAGGAGATTCTGGGGAAGGGACACAGGGTGGGTATAATCTAGACATCACTAAAGAGTACATGCTGCTAAATACATCAGCTGTCATCGCTGTGGAGGATGTGATGAAGTTTAACCACAACAGTCAGCAGTGAGAGAGAAGGGGTAGAAAAAGGAAAACAGAAAAGTGCTATGTGCACGCTGCTGCTGCTGGGACACTGATGCAGCGGTATCTTGATTCCAGTAACTTTTCCTAGACAAATATTCCTTGTGCCTTCCAGCCATCACTCTTCAAGAGAAGACAAAAAGCAAAATAAATCTTTTTTTAAAAAAATATATTTTATTGATTTTTTACAGAGAGGAAGGGAGAGAGAGCTAGAAATGTAGATGAGAGAAAAACATTGACCAGCTGCCTTTTGCACACCCCCTACCGGGGATATGCCCACAACCAACATACATGCCCCTGACTGGAATCGAACCTGGGACCTTTCAGTCCGCAGACCGATGCTCTACCACTGAGCCAAACCGGTTTCAGCACAAAATAAATCTTATTTTGGGATTGAAACTACTGGGCACTAATCCAGTAACATAGTAAATGTGCTGGTTATGATTATGTACCCTTTGAATTCTAACTTTGAATCCACATGCATAAAAGGATGATAATGCGGATTCAAAGTTAGAGCTTCAGGAGCAAAACTGCCTTATCCTGATTCCACTCAATTAACAGCTCCCAAGTTAACTTTCTTACCGTGATGCCAAATTTCTGGATGTCCATGAAAGTAAGATCCTATCCCGTGTCCCACAAAATGTGAACAGACTTGCAAACCATTCTGATGAGTGATGTGGCTTTAAAAGTGACCAAAAAAATATTTAATTAAATTAGATATGTTTTTAATGCATTCATAGATAAAAACAAAGTCACTTAAAATATTCTATAAAAAAGATAAATCAGTTATATTTAGAGTCAGATAATGACAATGTTTTCGTTATTTTGGAATAAATTTTTTGCCATTGCTTATAAAACTCCCTTTGGATAAATGAAGAAAAAGGTATGTATCTAACACAGTACAGTCGTTTGCTTCATTGACCTTCGCACAATGTTCAAGTAAGACCACTTTTAGATGAGTGTGCCACACACTTACATAGTTCAATATAACCAAGATACACACGTGAGTATAATGCAGATCATTAAAAACTTGTGTGCTGTATGGGGTTTCACAAAAAGACTATGCAGTTTACTACAAGTTGGGAACCAAAGAGAGAAAAAAATTTATAATCTAGAAATGTGACTTCGTTTTTCTATAGTTCCCTTATTCTGGTCTATTTCAAAGCATTATACATTTTGCAAACAGACATTCTCACAAAAGGTCAAATCTGCTTTGTCCGTATTCTTGAAACAGTACAAAACTTTGTGATCATTTAGGATTTCTCCTTAAGACTTACACCATTAAGAGGAATCATAGCCTTAGCCAGTTTGGCTCAGGGGATAGAGTGTCAGTCTGCAGACTGAAGGGTCCCAGCTTCAATTCTGGTCAAAGGCACATGCCTGGGGTGCAGGCTCGGTCCCAAGTGTGGGGCATGCAATGATGAGAGATCAATGATTCTCTCTCATCATTGATGTTTCTACCGGTATCTCTCTCTCCCCCTCCCTTTCTCTCTGAAATTAAAAAGAAAAAAGAAAAAAAAAAAAAGGAATAATAAAGAATGCTTTTTAACCATTGGGATGGTTAAGAAAAACTAGTATTATGATTCCTGATTCTTAATGTTTCATTGGTTATTTCTACATCCACATCATTTAGGTTCCATCTAGTCCATATAAATAAAATATGGTACATAATACTCCAACCATAAGATCTTCACCTACAAGGTTAATACGTTGTTTTTGAAATTAGGTGCACATGTTTTATTTCTGGGAGTGCCAGAAAGACAAAAAACATATATACCATTAATTTTTATATTTTCACGTGGACGAAGGGCACAGTGCCTGAATCCTAACCATAACAATGGATTGGGATTTACAAGACCACTATTTAAATTGTTAACAAAACCAAAGTTCTGAGATTCCAAACTGGAGTTTCCAAAAGACCCTCCATTCAGTTTAATATGAGCTCAAAAGCATTTAGCCAGAGTCTTTATGAGTACGAACGTTGATGTACTTTTCTCTCAACATTTTTAACCTTCATCTCCAGACCTGTAAAATATTGGATGTCACTCTACACAGCAGATAGGCAGACTCTCATTCAGATCTAATTTTCTTGTAACTGATAACATAGAAATAAGTAAGCGATGCATGTGCTTAGGACAGGATTGATAAATCAATGTGTGTTTTTAAAAAAAATCTATTTCCATGTGTCTTTGCACTTGGGGGAGGTTACACAAGTTTCCCAAGGCTTTTCTATTTGTACCACACAATTTCTGAATAGAAACTGAGGATGAAGAGTGGATAGAGGGTGGAAGAGATATTATCAAATAAGATATAATGATCTAATTTTTTTTTTTTTTTTTACAAAAATGGGCTCTACCTAAACCTGTAATGTTACTTCAGTTTCAACAAATCTCATTGATTCTAAGAGCATTCAATATAAACTGTTCTCCTATTTTCTTAAAGGAAAAAAACCACCTAGGTTTTTTTTTTTTTTTTTTTTTTTTAAGGTTCTGATTGGCAGGCATCACAGCTACATCTTAAATGTGCGTTACACTGGCAATCTTCATTTTAATTTCCGATGAGAGGAGAGGAAGAAAGCCCACTCTGGAAAGACACTTGGGGTCCCAGCCCCTCCCCATCATACCTCTCATTCCTCTTTATAAAAGAAGCTCTGCAATTACTAGGTGCCTAAGGTATCTGAGTGCATTCCCCTACAACAATTTACTGCCCGGATCCCGCGGGAACTCCCAGCTCTCCGAGGATCATAGAATGTATCTGTCCTGGATGCAGAGGTCAGAGGGGCTCACAGCCGTGGGGGAAAGAACGGGACAGATTTCCTCCAGTCCCTTGGTTGAACACCCATCTCAATGCTTGATTCCCAGGAGCTTAGTATATGCCCTTCTGTCTGCTTTTCCAAGTACTTTCCTTTTTGGATTGGTAGTTAGCTTTTTAACACATACCTGCAGGGACTAAATAGGATAAAAAATCTCATCAATGTTCCAAATTGCTATTTAAAAGCACACGCCTTTTATTATTTTGGAATACATGGGAAGCAAAGATTATGTGCCTAATTCTAGGGTTTCAATCTAACTTCATAGAGGCAAGCCAAATGACTTGTAGTAGCAAATTCTACTCTAACATGAAAGTGAGAAGTGATATCTTTAATCATGGCCCAGGAAGGTGGAGCATGTGTGCTTTTCTTGACTGGTGTGTTGGGGGACATGGGAACAACTGGGTGGGCAGGGGTGCCCAAGAAGTGCGGAAGGTGCTCCCCAACACCAGCCACCCTAGGGTCATGACCAACTTCTGAGCACAAGGATCTCTTGTCCTGGACATTTTGACTTCTTTTTGCTGAAATCTTTTGAAAAGAACTCTTACTATTTTAGCTCCTCTTATTCCCCCCTCTCCCCCCACCCACAACTAAAAATCCTCTAAGATAGTAGGGTACCTCTGCATTAGCCTGAGCACATTTATGATTTGAAGCCCATATAGAATATTTGGGGAGAGATGATGTATGAAAGTTGTAAACTTACTTTTAAATTATATTGTATTATGACAGTTCATGTGTCAGTTATAGTTTTTGGTTGAAAAAAAAAATCTTACTTAAGGAATTTCATCTTGTGACCATTTTCTTCAGTTTACTTCCTTTTCATGAGGCAGTTTTCTTCAAATGAAGTATTAAATGTCTCAATAAATTAAAATTCTTAATATATTTTAACTACCTTTTTATGACTAAGAATACATTCCCCAAGAGGGCAGAGGAGTCCAATATTTAAGTACATACTCTTCTAACAAAATAAAAATGCACATGGAAATAGTTTTATTACTATTTTTACACAAATCTTTTAAACAAAACTATTCTCTACATGGCCACATCTTTAATTAAAGGATCTTAAATGGCACCTGATATTCTAAGTTATGACATTTTAGCTTAATGTTTCCAGATTTTTATTTTAAGTAGTCTTTTAATGAAGGAATTAGGGGAATGATTCCCTCTAATGACAAGAAATGTTTAAGTATAATTAGTAATATTTTTGAAAGCCAGTAATTGTTTTCCAAAAGAGTGGTACTTTTTTTGTTGTTTTGTTTTAAACTGGACCACAAATTACTGTATTTTTCTTGAACTTTTATTTGAGGTTTTCTGTTTCTGAAAAGCAGCCATGATGGATTGAAATAAAAGATAATTTATTGCAATGCTTACTTTCATGTGCAAAGAGAAGCAGTATAATTGTAATTTACAGTAGCTGTCAAGAAAAATCCATCACAAATGACATTAAAATGACTTATTTTGCCTGAGCCACTTATTGTTTAAATGTGCATAATCTAATAGAAAGATATTATTTTTCAAAATCTGCTTTATATTCTTCTAAATTAATATCAAAACATATACTTATGAATTAAACATTAAAAACCGTTTATTGATACTTTCATCATGACATTTACAAGTATAAGTTTAAATTATTTTTGATTGAACTGTCACATATTTGTGATGCATGAATCTACACATTCACAATATTCTCATATGTACTGATCATACCATCTAGATATAATTATGAAAATACAGATTTAGAAATATTCAAAGCAAATGAAGCTACAGTGAGGATAATAACACATTGTAACCTAAAGATCACTAGCCCTCATGAGACAAAAGGACACACAGGGAAGGACTGTTTAAACTCTTTTGGCCAATAGTTTTCCAGAGATATCATCCTATCCTTCAGGTTTCTGAGAATTAAAAAATTTCCTATAAAGACCTCTCAATTTTTGGTAATAGAATACAATAAAAGATGCTTGAATGTTCTTTTCATGCTGTATTAGTAGAGGGAGGCCATGTAAAACATGGTGAATATCTTAAAATAAATGAGATTGAGTTGAAAGATGTTTGTAAAACTTAGGTCTGTAATGATTCCAAGTACTTGGCATAAAGGTGGAGATTGCTTGTTTATTTACACCCTCGAGGGTTTGACTGAATAAGAAAAGGTGAAATAATAGATGTCCAGAAACACTGCCTTCACCCATTAGAACAAACATCTGTTAGAAGCTGGGCCAGTTTCCTGTCCGGTGGCAGACACAAACCATCTAAATAATGAAATGTATTAGGGTAAAAGTAAAAAGTTCATTGTCTGTTATTTTTTACATAGTTTTGTAAGTGCTGTTGTTGGGACTGATCTGGTTTTCAAAGGAGCTGATATACACAAATTTGTACTTGGCAAAAAGTGACCTTTGCATTTAAATAGCTAAAATCCAATGTCACTTTCAATTCTCTTCTTCTTCTTCTTTTTTAATGTATCTAGAATTAATGTAGTGAATATGTAATGAAATGCATTATCCTACATAGAGATTTATCAGATTTTCCGACTGAATGCTAGGCTTTGCTAGCACTAGCTGGAATTCACCTGCATGTTGGTGTGGCGTGTGGCTCTTTTTTGTAAACAGTTAAGTCGTACACAAAAAAAGGGAACAAAGGTCAGCACCCAGCCGCCACTTGAATGTGAGATTTTTCTTTTTATTCCCCTTGATGTATACTAGGCTCTGTGTTATTAGTCTTAATGATGGAAAATTGTAGTGTTGATACAAATCTTTTTTTCAAAGTAGTAGGCGGGAGCTCCATTTGTTAGTAAGTTTTTTTGTGACTAAAAGCCACGGACAGTACATTTATGTAGCAGTAAAAGGCCTAGATGCTCTTTCCATAGCAGAGCTAATTATTCCTACTGTGACCTTACTGATCCAGCCTGTTCCTAGTACATCTCATCTGCACGCCTGTTCCTCTGTGTAGATGGTGTCAGGGAATATGAAAAACCCTATAATGAAACCATTTTCATGATGGAGAAAGGCTACTGGAGTTGCACTTGCTACAAAGAGGCTCAATTATATGAGTAATTGTGATAATTTTCTACATTCATAGCCTTCAATGGGGAAAAAAGAATGAGAGCCACAAAGGAAAATTACTTTAACAAGAAAGTACAGAGAGTAAAAATGGAAGAAGAGACAAAAAAAGGGGAAAAAATAACCAGAAAAAAAGTTTAAAAAATAGATCTGGAGGGAGGAATAGCGAGACAGGGAGAACAACAGAAATGCTCAAAAGCCCATGTGCAGCTGTGTTGCACAATTAAATTGAATTTTTTTTCCTGCAGTTGATGAATGTGACTACTGCAAATGTGCCTCTGTAGTTAGCTATCATTTGTTGTTCCGTGACAGGAAAAGGATAATTACCTCTCAGAGAGAATCAAAGGCTGACATGCCCTTTAGACACAGCCATGAATGCAGAGCTCGATAGAATGCTTGAATAAGAATCTAGTGTTCTCTGCCCCCTTCCACTGAAGAATAAATTTTGTTAAAATGCAAGAACACCACCAGTAAATTTGTTGAACCCTAGGTGTTCAAAAATATGAGGTACATCTATCGACTCATCCCATTTGCAAAAATAAAACTGCATTTTGAATTCGTTTCTATTATATTCATGGACAGTAAGATAGTGAGATATGCATTAAATTTCTTTTCCCAGTAGGGGTCTGATTCAACATTTCCTATGAAAGAACAGAGAGACACTATCCCTTTTTCCCAGGCTAGTTAGCCTATAATTTAAAACTGTCAAAAACACAATTTTGTTCAAAGTCTTCAATAAAAGCTTCCCAGATATAACCCGAAGAGATTTTACTAAAGTTTGATTCAGACACTGTTACAATATTTTTAAAGCCATAAATACGTTTAACTGATATTTTACTGCATTTTTCTTAAAGCATTTGAGGGCTTATGAAGAAAAAGGGCACCATCTTTACAAGGTGACTAAGTTGTCCATCCTTCAGACAAATGGGAAGCATTCAATGGTTCATATTAATGAGAATCATACTTTAAAAGGTACTGGTGTGGTCATCTTTAGCAAAATATTACTTTTAAATGAAAAGCAGCAACCATATATTCTGCATGTCTACTGTAAAACAGTTATGGGGAGAAAAGATCTAAAAGTAGGTAACAGATTACAAAGAAAAAGTCTTGAATTCAGAAAATACCCATTTGCTAAAAAAGCAAGTACAGAATGCTGTGTGGAAAGTAAACAATGGTTTATAGAAAAAAATGAACCAGACCCAACAGGACAGAAGATCACCCTTTCAGGCTGTTAGCTAATCCACTGATTTGAATGGTAAAGCTTGCTTGAGCTAAGGCTTTTTACCTCTGTATCGCATGAATGTGTTTATTTCATTCCTTTAGAACACTTAGCTTTTCTCCTGTCTCATCATCCAAGTGTTAGGATGCTTATTTAGCTCCTTCTTAGGTACTTTCTTCCATGTTTGGTGTGGTTTTGAGTAGAGGAACACTACAGACCAACATGTCAAGCTAAAACAAAAGCAGTCCACAAATACTACTTGCTGCTTCTATAAATTTCTTTGTTGACCCTGATATAATTCACTTTTTCTTTTTCTTTTCTTTTTTTTTTTTTAACTCAGGGAACAACACCGCAGCCTGGCAGTTCACATACTGATATCAGACTGAAATGATGGCTCTGAATCATAAAACATATCATCAACTTTATACCAAGCCACCAATAACCTTGCACCATTTGCCAACCCTCCCTTTACTTGTCAGTGTCAGGCTTACCTGATTGTGTTTCCAATTACTGAGAAGGGAGCCCCTGCTCTGCAAGCTGCAATGGCTTCATCTCTACACCTCCTGGCAACTGCCACTAACTTCCTACCACCTTCATCCACATTGCCCACCAAGAATGTTTCCGAGGTGTCTCCGTGGTAGCCGTTGTAATAGACCTAAACATAGGCAGAAATTTAATAATTTGTTGTTGTTTAAAATCTACTCTTCTAAAGTATACATTGGATTCACTTGTTTTAGCCTTCTAGAATTACTCTTAAGTTCACCTACAAAAAAAGAAATAGATATGCTGAAATCTTACAGAAATTTAAAAGATGAAGCCATGCAATAATATTACACAATTTAAAATAAATAAGTGACTTCGTGTGGCTATTTTAGCATTCTGATTAGCCATGCTACAGTAGCATGTTGATTCTTGACTTTATTTTTGAAAAGACAAAACTATATATGCAAAATGTAGTGACCAAAGATACTGATCCACAAATATTACAACAGGTTGAACCTAGCAATATTAAACATAGTGAAAAGTTTCTTCAATGTCATGAAGATATTCAATCTTTCATTTACTAGTTCTATGTTTGGAAGTCAGAGATAATGACAAGAAATAAGACAGACATGTCGATATTATACAGACAGTGGCTCAATATAGGAATGAGAAATCTTGCCTGGAAGTGAAATCTTTATTGAATGTTCCAGATAGCTGAATGTAAACAGGAAACACTACACTTCAATATTTACAGACTTAAAATATAAGAAAACAGTGTTAAGAATAAAATTATTAAAAAAAATTATTTTTATCAGTCTTCAATGATTTAGCAGTCCCTGTATGATCTTGAAAGATAACATTCATTATAAAAATCAATAATTACCAAACACAATAAATATAAAAGTTTGAGAAGATTATTAGAATATTGATCCATCAATGTAGCATGAAATGTGCTATTTTGCATAAATTTGTCTTATGCAATTATTTTTCACATCTCTTTCTCAAGTAAAAGTAAAATGCAGAAATTGTTACAAAAATGTTTATCTGAGCTTTCTAATACTGAATTAATAACTTAAATCTGTGTACAATTCTACCTTTAAAAATACTCTCCCACACACTGTGAGGGAAACAGGAAAAGTCTTTAATATGTCTTCATTTTAAAAGTCAGTAAACTGAGGTAAACAAGTAACTTGTCTAAGGTTAGTGGCAGAATATAGAGGTGGATCCAAATCAATATGATGGATTATTGGCTTCCAATCCAGTGGTTATTTTCCTACGGTATAAAAGTATCTTAAATACTTTACAATGGAACAGTGTTCTATATTTTATTCCCATTTGTAACCCAAGAAAGTGTAAGTTTTAATTTTATATACAAGTATATAACATTTACTAATAAGAGTAGTTATTTTTAAAGTTTGTATATCTGAATGTTTGCATAACTGCTATTTAAGTAAAAATGAATTTTAAAAAATTTTTATTTGTCTTTTCATATTACTTTTGCTAGCTTTCAAAATGACTCCTTGAAAGAATCAATATATATGGAAATAACAATACTTTTAAAGTCTGTGACAGTTATCTATAATTACTGTTTATACCCACAAACTATTCTTGTTTTTTACTTCATTTATTTAACAAATATTTATTGAACAACTACTATGGGCACTGCATAATCTATTTTTAAACATTCAATTCTCAAAGGAAAAAGAAATCTATTTTCTTGTGATATATACTAGACATAAACAATTATAACATGCAATGAATATTTTCTAATATAATATGAAATAATAATGGGATATTTCACTTAATAAAATATTTCACAAGAAATATAATTTGTTCAGATACTAACTTATATATTTCCTTGACTGCTTCACATTTCTTAACATTGAAAATATTTCACTTTGCTTTATTAATTTTGCAATTATGAAATTATTTGAATGTTAAAAATGGAAGTGTGTGTGAAAAGCCTTCAGGAAACATAGAAAAAGCTTGGAATATTCTCCTTGAACACACTGAAAGCAATAGGGAAGAGTATGCTTGATTTCACTGAAAGCAGCAATATTTTATAAGGGGGTGATTGATTAGGTGAGAAAATAAAAGTAAAACCCCCAAATCAGGTACAATCCAAAAGAAAAGTGTATCATGAAAAATACTTTATTTCAGGCACACTTCATAAAATATCTCTTGCCACATGATTCTGAGTTTGAAAGATACCAACAGAATATGTATAGAGCAAATGTTTAAGTATTTTAAGTAGCACACAAAGATAGAAAAGAGTATTAGCAATAAAAGAATCTTTGGCTATTCTGTCACACAAATTGATATGTAAAAAAATTAATCTGAGCAATTAAAAATCTGACTGAAAACTACTGGATGCCAATTTCCACCACATTCCCTCTCCTACCTAAGTTTCATGATCGGATATAGAATAACTATTATTAAAAACATTTCCTCTATATCCTTATGTTCACTGAAGCACTATTTATAATAGCCAAGATCTGGAAGCAGCCCAAATGACTATCAGTAGACGAGTGGATAAAAAGCTGTGGTACATTTACACAATGGAATACCACCTGTTTGAAAAAAAGAAAAAAAAAGGGAAAAAAAAGAGGAAATCTTGTCTTTCGACACAGCATGGATGGACCTGAAGAGTATTATGCTAAGTGAAATAAGCCAGTCAGAGAAAGAAATATCATAAGATCTCACTTATTTGTGGAATCTAATGTACAAATAAACAAACAAATAAAACAGAAATAGACTCATAGGTACAGGGAACAGACTGACAACTGTCAGGGAGGAAAGGGACTTGGGAGGCTGGGTGAAGCAGGTGAAGAGATTAACTGAAAAAACCAACAAACTCATAGACACAAGAGGGAAAGGAAGGGTGGGTGAGATAAAGAAGAGGGGAAGGGAGATAAGTGGTGATGGCAGGAGACTTGACTTTGGGTGGTGAACACACAATACAATATACAGGTGATGGCCCAGTGGGTGTGGCTCAGTGGTTGAGCATCCATCTCTACACCCCAGAGGTCACTGGTTAGATGCCTGGTCAGGGTACATGCCTAGGTTTCAGGCTCAATCTCCAGTAAGAGAAATGCAGGATGTTTCTCTCTCATCAATGTTTCTATCTCTTATTCCCTTCCTCTCTCTCTAAACATCAATCAAAACATATCTTAGAAAAAAATACAGATGATGTATTATAGAATTGTATGCTTGAAACCTATATATATATATATATATATATATATATATAATTTTATTAACCAGTGTAACCCCAATTCAATAAAAGATTCAAGCAGAAAATCATTGCTTCATTAATAGAAAATGTCATGCTTCAATACTATCTATCTTTTTTTTTAAAATATATTTTATTGATATTTTACAGAGTTGGGGGAGGGAGAGAGATAGAGAGCTAGAAACGTCGATGAGAGAGAAACATCAACCAGCTGCCTCTTGCATACCCCTTACCGGGGATGTGCCCAGTACATGCCCTTGACCGGAATCGAACCTGGGACCTTTCAGTCTGCAGACCGACGCTCTACCACTGAGCCAAACCGGTTTCGGCAATACTATCTATCTTAATCAATTCTCATCAGATATTTAAATAGTAATTACTTAAAATTTATTTATTAATCATCAGATGTAAAGAATTTATTTATAATCTACTTAATCCAAAGGTATCATTACCAAACTTTCTAGCAAAATGAACTGCCAACGCACAAACACGCCACCTCTAAAAGTAGTCAAGGGCTAAGAATATTAGAAAAGGTTTTAGAGCTTGTACATTTGAAGTTCCTAGGCTAAATTATTTTGGGTTGTTATTTAAAAGAAAGGCTGTTAACCATTTGGTGAAAACTCAAGTTTAGAGAGAAAGCCGTTCCGCTGGGATGCTTTGAGTTCAAGGCTCTCTATATCAGAAATGGAACATGGTGCTACCTTCAGGGATTTTAATAAATCTCAGAACACTGCTAGCAAAAGAGTTGCTGTCCAAATAGACTGACACACACAGGCCAACGTGGCCTCTAATGACAGAGTAAGATAATGACAGGCCCCACTCAAAATCAGCAGGAAGAGGAAGATCAATCTTGGCAGAGTGAAGGAAAAATGCTGGCTTTCTTCGTGTTAGCTCATCTCATACATATCTAGCTTCGGCAGCTGCCCAGTGCTGCGGTGCTCTGCATTAACTACACAGTGGATCAATAACAATTACACCTTCTCAAAAACATGACACATAGCAGGATTGGGTTGACATTTCACTTAGGCCAACATTGATCTCAGTGCATCTGATTCCAGCCCTAAATTCAAGTCAGGCCTGGGTTTACTTGGAATAAACAGTGTTAAAAACAAAAAAGGAAACCAGCTGCTTGTGTCTGGGTCCAGAAGTAAACAGCACTTCCATCGGCGCAGTTCACATTTTCAATCCACTCTTCGTCCTGTTGCTACCAGCAGTTCTGAAGTTGATCAAAGACTATTTTTTATATGATTTACTCACCGTGACATCAATGTTGATAATATCTCCATCCCGAAGAGGTCGACTGAAACATAAACAGGGAAAAAATGGTGATAGATCTCAATAAAAGGGCTATAAAAATAAATACCTAATGACTACTATCACAAACCATATGAGTTGCAATGATAATTTGGAGTAAAGGAGGAATAAATGGAATAACTATATCAAATCTTTAACTTAGGTTAGTCACATCAAAGTTTACAAGAAATATATAGTATGAACATATTGCTATTTGTAAGTCTACTAGTCTTTAAAAAATAAAAAAGTACTTATGAGTTACCTTAATTTTGCAAAGAGCCAAAACAGTTGATAACTAATATTAAAGAAGCATTTAATGCATAACTACTTTTTTGGATTACAGATTGCTTTAACAAACATTAAATGGGGGTATCATGTGCACTTTGAGGCAAAATACTTCAAATTTTTGTTTTAACATAATCAGCTTCAAAAGTTTGCAGGTGGGTTTCAATTAAACAATAGTGTCTTTCACCATATGTTGTAGATCTTAGTTTCATGTTTTAGTTTCCAAAGGAACAATATGTTATTAAGCAATGACTACCTGTCAGGAATACCATGACATAGCACGTTGTTTACAGAGGTACAAACAGACTTTGGAAAGCCTCCATAGCCTAGAGGTGAGGGATAGGCATCATGACTGATGATTTCCTGATGAACAAGAGCATCTATCTCTTCAGTTGTCATGTCAACCTAGAATATTAAATAGAGAAATTGTGCAATGACAGCTAAAGACATTTCTTGTGTCTACTGACTATGCTTTTAGCTACAGCACTTCCAAGCAAGAGTATATACATCTACTGTGATAAACTTGTAGTACAAAATGTTAATTAATTATGATTAACATGAAAATCCTAAATTGTGCCTTTTTGATAGTCATTTAAGTATATGATGGTGCTGTGGACCATTAGGAAATGGAAATTTTAAACTCTTAAGATCCTTCAGATAATTTGTGAGTCATTAAATGACATGACTCCTTTTTAGACTGAACATTTCAAAAGTATGTCCTCAGGTAATTCTTTCCTCTTCCTCACTGGTTAGTAACCTGGGCTAACAGAAACATATAATAAATACTCAAAATTTGTTGTCAGTTTAGATGACAAAGCTTGAAAATTAGATCAACCCATATCTCAGAGGAACATTACATGGGTTTTGCAGCAATGGCATAGAAAAATTATAGATCATTGTGTAAAAAATTGAGTCTGATACATATTTTATAGATTTCATTTTCACTGATCTTGATTCCCTTCATACCTAAATAAGTCAATGTTTTTTAAAAATATTTTTCTCTTGAATCCACACATAAAAGAAAAACTATAATCTAGTTTTATGAGCACATGAAGTATAGCTTAAAACACACAAATCATGAATAAAATTTTAAAAGTTTTATTAAAAATGAACTATTTCTTCAATAACTTCCTGTGTCATCGTAGAATCACATTATGTTTATTTACGTTGCTATAAGAAGAGTATGACCCAGATGGTACCTTAAGTCATTTCATCGGTGAGTCTCACTTTCTAAATTTTGCCCACCTTTTTGAAACTACAGGCCCATATTTTCATGTATGATCCTTATACAGCAGAGTGTTTCAGATGATCCTGAAAGGCCCAAATCTTGTAGTAAGACAGGTGTAACAATTACATCGCTCTATATTACCCATGGCTTTGTGTATCTGGTCTGATCTTACTCTGCAGAGCTAATGCAGGAAAATAGTAGACAAAGACTGAGGCAAGCAGCTCTTCAGGCACACGGAGTGATGTGGGGAATAAAAGCAGAAACTACGGGCAGGAGGAAGGGGGCAAAAGTCAAAGCCGGCTGCCACTGATCCACTTACGGAGACTGACTGCGCCCAGAGCATCTCCAGAATTCTACTTAAAACTGAGTCTGGATTTTAAACCATCTCTTGAATACACACATAAAACAATACAATCCCCTTCCCCTGTCCCAAGGCTTTACTTAATTGGTAACAAATTACATGTGTACAAAAGAGGCGTTAAAGGGACAGAGGAAAAGTAAAAGAGGGTCTGTTGCCCCTCATGTTAGTCCTTCGGAGGTTTGGGAGACGCCACCTTTAAACTCTTCCCAGCCAGGAGGAGGACGTGCCGGGCCAGCTGACAGGCCTGACGAAGCCCTTGGATCTGATCTTCATTCTTAACTTCTATGCTGTCTCCCCAGTCGGGCACAATGCCTGTCGTCACATAGTCTGGCTTCTTTATGTGCTGGGGGAGAAAGGATTGAAAACGAAGATCAGAACCCAGCGCGCGACAATGGGAGCATTTTTTCGGACACAGCCTCCTACTTCATGGGGTTCTGCCCTTCCTGCCGGAGCGCCGACCTCCGAAGCCGGCACAACAGCCCCTCCAGGCTGCCCCCGGGTCCTTCGCCTGCCCTTTTGAACTTAGCATTGCCTGTTAGTGCTGTCTCTGGACGGTCTATTAACCTTACTGTGCTTTGAGTCAAACTGGCCTGAAGTGGACTTCTGGTCAAAACAAACAGTAGTTTCTTTTCTGCCTTCTCCCAGCCCCGTGAGAAGCACGCTGTCATTGATGGAAAACAGCACCAGGCTTCCAAATTGTCAAATGGCTAATTAAGAGCACTTTCATCTTCTTAACACAAAGATAAAATTTATGCAAAGGATAGCTCACAACACCCTCTCTCAATGAATATATGTAAAAGGCTGACTGTCAAGGCCAGCGAAGCCTATTGCACACACACTTTTCTTGCTCTTCACAACGCTACCCAAACTAATAAGGGACTAGAGGATAAAATATAACAGCTTTTCCCCCTTTCTCTTTCTTCTTAAGTACCTCAAACTACACAGAGTGCTTCTATCATTTGTTAAAAAATAACAAAGTATCACCCCAAACTCAAAACATTCACCTCAGATTACCCTGGTAGCACATTCTCCATCATTTATTCAAATCCATGGGCAGTACACAGAAAACGCTCTGTCTCTCACACAGAGCTTCTCTCAGTCTCAAAGTTTTGCACAGCTCTTTACAAGCTACTTATGGAAACTGCTACATAAATATTGTCTACACAGGAGATGGGGACAGGGAGCTGAGAAAGAGAACACTATTCAAAAATTGACATCACAGCAACTCTGACAGAGCATCAGGCAGGACGGAAGGACCTTCACCTTGCTCGTGTCAGACGGTCCTTTCCGACACAGGTAACGCCACTGCTCAGGTGCCACAGCTGAGCTCTGGAGGAGCATCTCTCCCCAACAGCCTTCCCACCGGCGCCCACAAAAGCTCCCAGTCCGTCGTCGTGTCTCCCCCCCCCCCCCCCCCCCCCCCCCCCCCGCTCCGCCCCGGCTCTGTGCCCTTGTCTCTGCTTTGTGATCCGGCCAGGTTACAACTACAGGCAGAAGGGCAACTGGACTATCCCCGAAATTCTAAAACAATACATTTCCCTCTCCAGAGATTTTTTTTCTTTTCCAACTAAGAAAATACCAGGAACATACTTTGGGCTCTGGTGGCTTGTCTCGTCAGCCCCTGCCACAAAACGAGGTCACTCACCTTCAGAAATATAATATACTTAATGTGGGTTCAGTGTAAAAAAATGCATAAAGGGGAAAGCAGGTGATTTTTGTGACAAATCTGAATTTCTTTCAGCCATTCCTGTTCTTCCTAAATAACCCGCACACCTCCTTTATATGGCATTAAAGAAAAAGGATTGCTTTTCTATAGAACTGTAATCTATAGAAAAAAAGTCAAGTATGCTGAGACAAGATGTTTTCTTTAATTTACTGTAAAGGAGATTCAAAGACAGAAGCATTAATAACATGAAGAGCAAAAGAGCAGGCTTTAGGAAAAAACATCTAGTGTATTAGTTTCAAGTAATCTCTCTTGAATGATCCCAGTGTTATAGTCATTTTTTTTTCTAAAAAAAAAACAAAAAACCTACATGCATGTAGTTTTATCTTCATGTTAACACAGAAAATTGTATGATAGAAATTTTTATTCTATCGATAAATAAGATAAGCAATTATATGCTCAGCTCTTTATTTTAAAAAATTAACCTTATAGAACTGCAGGATGTTAAAACTTCTCAAATGACGATTTAAAATCACAAACCAAGTTTAAAAATTATATTTCAAACAGCTTAGAAATCAAACGTGCAAAAACATTTGATTGCTTCTGCAGCTAACCTTTATCTTGGCTGGAAAAAGCAGCAGATAATAGGCGATACAGTACCTCGGGGACTGGATGAGCGGAAGAAACTGCAGCAGGCAAAACTATACTGTGTGAAATCTCTCTTTGTCTGCGGAAAAAGAAATTTCTTCTTTGTTGACTGCTTGACTGCTTGTGTAAGAAGATATGATTGAGTGGTGAAGAGAAGATTCTATGACAACCTAGAAGCAGAAAGAGACATGTTTTAAGTAAAAAAAAAAAAAAAACACCGAACATGGTGCTACATTTGAAGATGTTGTGTTGTTGCCTATTAAATCATTATTCTAATTCTTTACTGGCTCAGAGAGGAAAAGCCCCAAATAGAAAGAAAAGCATGGCGTTCTCAGTTCTAATAAAATAGTAGCACGGCATATTTATTAGCTAATACCATGTTTACATAAATGTTTGACAATGGAAAACTCTACTCCACTGGAAAATAAACATATAGAAACATCTGCGGAGCACCGGGTCTGTAAAAAGGACCATTTCTGCTGTGATACCTTACCCAGCAATGTCCTGGGTGACCTGAAACTCGGGGCACTGTTTGGGTGGCTTTTCATTCTTTAACGCCGTGAAAAATCACGGACAAATTGCCAGCTGCACTTTTTGCCCTCGATTTGATTACTACTCTGTGTTAAGTTCATGTGCAGCGAGGCATTATACTGAAATTCATTGTGATGAATGCTCAAGTCAAATAAAGACTAGATAGCAAAAATGTAGAGTGTAACCCTGAAAGAAAGTGAATATAGGGGCCTAAAATTACCCACAACAGGAATTTTGAAATATCTGTCAACATTTTAAATGCACACATCCTTTGACTCAGCAATGCACCCTCCTAAGACTTTACCTTGCAGATATCATACAGTGATGGATATATGAAGATGAACCCTACTGCAGCATTGTTTGTGGTAGGAAAAATGGGAATAACTCAAATGTCCACCAGTAGGGGGCTGGTTAAATATATTATGGTATATCTATACAGCTATGGACCTATTAAAGAGAATAAGCTAAATCATCTCTAAGTATTGATATGGAAAGAAGCCACAGTACATTGACATAGGAAAATAGCAAATACTGAATACAGGGTGCGGCAAAAATAGGTTTACAGTTGTTCATGTGGAAAATAGTACAATAATTAATAAATAATAATACAAGATAAACTCTGCTTTGCCTACTCACAACTGTGAACCTATTGTTACCTCACCTTGTATTTATAAACTGGCCATTAATGTAAAAAGAGCTTATACATTTACATAAGTTTAAATATACCTATAGTATTTCTGAAGATTGCTATTCATCAATAGTGATTATTTCTGGGACATATGATTGGGGCTGGGGATGAAGGCTTCTTGAATCATTTTATTTTCTTCTAAACTGTTAGGTTAAAAAAACATTTACTTGAATAACTTTTATAATTAAAACAGTAGTTTTGGAAATCCCCAACATATCATAATTGCACAGCAGGAGTTGGCAAACGATAGCCCAAGGCCAGACCTGGCCTGCTGCCTGTTTTTATGCAGCCCACCCAACTAAAAGTGATTTTTATGTTTATAAAATGGTTGCAAAAATCGAAAGAAAAACAATGTTTTATAATGTATGAAATTCAAATTTCAGTGCTTCTAAAACACTGGAACAAAGCTACCCTCGTTTGCTTTCAATTGCCCCTGGCTATTTTTGAGCTACAGGGGCAGAGTTGAGTAGTTGTGACAGATCTGGCCATTTACAGAAGTTTGCCTGCTTCTAATCTAGAGCATTGGTTCTTAAAATGTGGTACCCAGGCCAGTAGCTTTAGCATCATCTGAAAATGATGCAAATTCTTGCACCCCTCCTCACACTACTGATTCAGAAACCCTGTGATAAGGCCAGCAATCTGTGCTTTAACAAGCCCTCAGCGCAATTCTGATGCACACACAAGTTTGAAAAGTACTGGCCCAGAGCAGTGGTAGACAAACTGCGGCTCGCGAGCCACATGCGGCTCTTTGGCCCCTTGAGTGTGGCTCTTCCACAAAATACCACGTGCAGGTATGCATGTACAGTGCGATTGAAACTTTGTGGCCCATGCATAGAAGTCAGTTTTCAGCCTGGGCGAGTCTATTTTGAAGAAGTGGCCTTAGAACACACAAGGGGCCAAAGAGCCGCATGTGGCTCTCAAGCCGAGGTTTGCCGACCACTGGCCTAGAGCAAGCTGACAGCTGTGAAACGTAATGGAAACACCAATTGCAAATGCATACTGGCCCCAAAATCCACTCTCTCTAAGTGATTTGGAAAAAGGCATGGGATGCAATTAAAGCCCAATGGTCAGTGTTGAGTGTCTTAAGTTTTACTCAATTATATTCTTCCATAAAGTTCAGTTTAATGTTGTTGAATTAAACTTACAGAGGTGTTTTGGGTATTATTTTAAATAATTCCAAATACCAGACCAAACGTCATAATGTCACTTTAAAAAAAGTAGCCTGAGGTATGTGCATAGAGGAAAATATTTCCATCACTATTCCAAGAATGTCAAGTGGTACATGGGTGTCAGGGTGGTACCCCAGGAAAAGCAGCAGCCTAGAGTTTCATTTCAGCTCGACCACTTGCAAGCTGTGGTCTTGAGCAAGTTTCATCTTTTGGGTTTCAGGACAGAATGGACTGGAATACAATATGTGAAAGCACCTTGCATTTAGTAGCTGCCTAATAAAAGACAGTTTCTTCAAGAACACTTAAAAAGTAAAATAAGGAAACACAGACTCCACTATGGCTTCTAATACTGAGCACTAATGTGTCAACGTAGGCACTTAACATACGTTAGCTCATTCATTTTCCAAGAACCCTGTGAGTTGTACACTGTTATTACTCCATTCCACAGCTGAAAATAGTGAGGCACACAAAGGTAAGTCAGGAACATGCAGCTAGTGCCAAAACCGAGGGGAAGCAGGTCAAATTGCTCCCACAAAGTATATCACTTCTCTTACACGTGTGAGAAAAAAATGAGCTAACATACATGGAAACACCAGAAAGTGTGAAAGGCACCATAACACTATTAAAAGTTACCATTATTGTTATTTTTCTGAAAGTAGTTATAGTTTGATCTAATCCACTCACTCTCTTAAGACAAGCTCCCTTTGCTGACCAAACACGTGGTTGGGTGGGGAGTTGGCTGAGCACTCTGGGCAATGGGATGGAAAACGTGGGTCGCAGCTTCAGCAAACACTCAGGTGGAACAATCTATGACCATGGGTCCGTGAACTGCATTGGTAAGTCGGACCAAAGACATACTTTTCTGAGGAAAGTATGTATGTGTTATGAGTACTAGGAATAATGACAACACTGATAGAAGTAGTCACAATAAGAATGGTTAACATTTAAGGGCCACCTTCTTGGAGTAAACACAGTGCTAGGTGCTCAACATACATTGTCTCTAACCCATCTGTCAGGCGGGCAGGCAGCTGTTGATGTCATTATTTTACAGATGAAGCTCAATCTGTGGTGATGGGTCAATAGCCAGCCCTGCCTCAGGTCCTCAAAGTCCAAGTCCAAGGTTGTACCTGCCACTCCAAGCTGCCCTTTAGCAACATGCAGGGGCCCTGCATGGTAGCTAGATGCTTTGTTTTACATTATGCTTTTTTAAGGGAATTGATTTTGAGGAAAGTTTTCTTTTTTAATTATGAAAAATTAAATATCATGGGATCAGCCAACATTCAGAATAAAGATACTTTTCAAGAAAGACCTTACACTGACTTAATTGAGAAACACTGTGCTAGTGAAAACAGCGTGAGCTTTGAAGTCAGACAGGTCTGAGTTACCAAGCCTTCTGAGCTTCTTTCGTCAGCATTATAAGGAAATAACATTGCTTTTCTCACCACTGGGCTTTAATGAGCATTAACTGAGATAGCATATACTGTGTACTAGTATATAAACCATCTTTAACAGGTAGGTGCTCCACAAATGTTAATTTCCTTTCTCTTCTCAACTATTTGAAATGTTTACCTGTGGACCTCTAAATTTATTTATTCTTTAAAAAAAATTTTAAAAATATATTTTATTGATTTTTACAGAGAGGGAGAAGTTAGAAACATCGATCAGCTGCCTCTTGCACACCCCCTATTGGGGATGTACCCACAACCGAGGTACATGCCCTTGACCGGAATCAAACTTGGGACCCTTCAGTCCACAGGCCGAAGCTCTATCCACTGAACCAAACCGGTTAGGGCTATTTATTCTTTTTTTAACAACAGCTAAAAAAAGTTGCCACGCTGAGGTTGCAGGGAGAACAATGTGACAGAGTCCTGCTCTTGTGAAGCTTATATTCTGTGGTGGGATGCAGACAAGAAGCAAACCAACAGACACAGAGATTATATCAGCTGGTGATATACATGATGAAAAACGGGCCACAGTAACACAGCACTGCTTAGCAAAACGAGGGAAGCTGGGCTTCACAATCTTTGAGGTCCCTGTAACTCTGACATCTATGCCTCCATTCAGCAGCATTTGATTGTCATGCTACATGCCAGGTAATGGGATGATGTAGAGTCTGATCAATTCTAGGACTCATGAAGATTTTGTTCAATGTGGCTGATAACTCAAAAGAGAGCTCATCTTTATCAGTATTATCAAGTTCAAGTACACAGTCATTATGGAGGAATCCTTTCTATGTACTTAAACAGGAAGGATGAAGTCACCTTTCCACCTTTCCACTAGAATGAGACTTTTGAGACATTCACTTCTAGGATGAACAGTGCTGTCAATGTACCTGTTCCGCCAAATCATGTGCTCACTGCCCAGAAGATGCGGGCACATCCACCCGTGGCACACACTGGGAACACAGGCTGAAAGCATCTATCCGATTTGCTTACAATAATGGTTCTGCAGTGTACTCAGCAATTCCAGTTTCATAAGATACTTTTTTATTTGAAGTGAAAACATTTCTTTTAACCTGATAAAAAGACAGTCTATAATTGTTGTAAGTAATAGGATAATATGGTACCATATAGTGTTTATTCCACTATTCATTATAAACTTCGGAAAAAAATCTAGTGTTTTCAAAAATGAAAGGAAGAAATGGGGTTAGGTCAATACATGCCTTTTTGAAGAAAATGGTCCTCCAATTATCATGGCCAAAAAAAGGGAGAAGGAAAGATCCTCAACTTTATCTTATTGTAATTAACAAATATTAATTAACAAACTTTCTAAACGCAAAGTG